CAATTATATTTTTATCCAACTTGGCAATTACTTCATCATGCTGATCAGGTTTAAGTTCTTCCATGTCACATGACTTCAATCGTGAAGAATCTTCACGGTTTTCAAGATTACATGCTAATTTGGATGCATTAACTTGCGGTTGCTTTGATAAGATACAAGATGCTGATCTTATGTTTTCAGAACTAGCCTCATAAGATTGTGATAAGTTTTGCTTGTCTTGCTCTGAAGTTAACATGTCCGTGACCTCAGGAATTTTAGTCACATCCTGAGAAATTACGAGTGCCTCTTGATCTCTCTGCTTCTTTTCCAGCCTCCTCTCTCTAATCTCATTGCTAATGCTTTTCTTATACGCCTCATCCAAGAAATTGTCCATTTTCTCATCGTTACCATCAAGGTCACTAGGTGCTCGTTCTACTTCATTATTGAGTTTGTCTATTACAGAATCGGGTACATCAACAGTTGGTACCATCACCACTGGCATCGCTTCTTCACCGTTTTGTATCCAACCAAATGACAACGCCATCCCATCCACTGCTGAACTCTGTTCTAATAATGCAAGTCTAGCCTCAAGCTCTCCGACTCTAGACTTGAGTTCAGCATTCTCAGAATCACGCCTTGCATTCTCTTCAATAATTTGCTTCAGCTTCGCGTTCTCAGCCTCAACCTCAGCAAATCTTAGTAACTTCTCTTTGAGTTCAGGAATCTCATCATTCTCTTTCATAAGTTCGGCAATCTCAGTTAAGAGCTTGGCATTTAATTCTCTCAATGAATCAGTGGATTGCATGTTCAATGATAATTTTTTATATGAGATGGAATAATTCAAAAGTTCGTTAGCATAGATAAAAAACCGTGATAACATAATATCCCAACATTAACTCTAATCCGATTTCATTTACCCAACGTCAATATTCTGGATAGAATAAAAGGGTCAATTATGCATAGAATACGTGCGGAGTCAGAAATAAATTAGCAATATTAAAACTCACCAAAAGTTTATGTTCTCTGCCTAATAAGGTCCTCGAAAGTTCTGAACAAAAAAAATAGATATTGGCTTTGCAAGCTCTGAGTCGCTTCCTTGTAAATGCACGAAATATTCATATCTTATATTGCGTAGTCTTAGTTTCGCCGATCAGGATTGGCACTCTCATGTGACATTGTGACATGTGGCTGATTTTTGATTGATAAATTTTTTTCGTAATTTCCTTGACACATCGCTGACTCAGTTCGTAGTAATTTGTCAACAGCCATATATGGAAATATATATATATATGACATATAATCAAAATGTCAAGCTACTCTTCGCTATTTCGAGTACCTTCGCCATTCCGGGTACAAACTAATTTCGAGGAAAATTCCCTACCTGCTAGATCTAACGCTGTATCCATAAGGTCTTTTACTTGTGTTATACTGAAAAATTACTTGTTTGACCCTCGTTTTTAACTCTCGATTTTTGCGATTGCAGATATAGTGAAATCCTGGTATTTTGTATCGTTCTAGGTGATAACACTGAAACTGCTTTCCCGGTTAAACTTCCTAGTGACAAGAAAATTGGGGAACTCAGGGAATTAATCACTAAAATAAATCCAATGAGTTTCGCCAATATTGACGCAAAAGACTTAATCCTATGGCAAGTTAGTATTTCTGACGAAGATGTCGAAAGAATGAAAATTCTTAATACCAAGCCTCCTTCTGATATTAACATTGAAGAACTTGGGGGTAAGGTTATGTCCTCTAGGAAAGAAATTAAATTTTACTTCTCTGAAGATCCAGTCGATGAACATATCCACATAATAATCGTCCGGCCACAACCGCCCGCCACCACTGGTAAGTGTCTCCCAACGTTTTACCTCTCGAACAAGAAATTTTGCAGTAACAAAATATTGATTTGGTCTGATCTCTTTTTTTCGCGTTAAAGTAGGTCCCTCTCATCAAGGCGTTCCACAAGGTACGGTATCTCTAGTTAAATTTCCTGTGTTGTCTTAGTCTTTGTATTCTGGCCCGCCATTATTGATACATATAGGTTACTTGCACCGTATCTATTTGTTAATACACTGTGCTTTCTTATTGTTTACAAAACATAGTGACGTCGATCGAAGATGCCATGAAAAAGATTTTGGAGGGAATTCATAAACAAATGAACGTAGACAATGTAGACAATAATAAGCCCAAGCCCATGGCTCTAAAACAACGTGACCTTAAGCAAGCTATTGATGTGATTGACAGGAATTTTTGTAATTCCTTAGATAAAAAAGAAGCTATAAAAAAAGAAACTCCCACGGCAAAGACAAACTATCGAATCCTTTTATGCGGTGGGGCACCTGGCATAGGTAACTTTCATACATTCTCTTGTATGTTTTTACAGCAGATAAAGCGGTTTTAGCCTTCTAATTAACAAATTCAAACTATAATTCACTAGGAAAGACACGTTATGGAGTTGAATTGTTTAATTGTCTCTACAAAGAATGGAAGATATCAAAAGGCCAAAAGCCTTACATGCTTTACATGCTTCTTGATTTCTCTAATGGCTATGCTTTAGATGAATACGAAATCCAAGGAGATATGAAAATTGCATCGGAAATCATTCTTGGATTGCGGTTGGCATACTACTTTTTTGTCAAAAAAAAATATGTGATGAGTTTTGCAATGTTTAGTACAAAAGCCAATGAATATAAACATATTTTCAAGTTGGATAATGTCCTCGCGCACATCTACAGCCATGAACACAAAAGACTTCAACCTGGCCAGCATCTTTTCATTTTTCTCCAAATTGATGAATTTCAGCTTATTTTTAAAGATCGAAAGGAAAGAGCTGAATTATTTAAACAGTTAATGTATGTTCTTGGGCATCACATGACCGGAAAAATTCCAAACATATTCATACAGACTCTACTATCAGGTACAGCACCACAGGACGCAATACGAGCAATGGAACCTTCAATGTATTCTTGTGAACCTCTTGACCTTCCACTGCTTTCCTTGGAGTCACGCCTTGATATAATGAGGGAATTTGCAACAAATCACGATGTTTCTGATTGTGTATGGGTGCCAAAAATTTGGATACATCAATTACTCCTTGATACAGGTGGTCTTCCACGTGCTTTGGAATACCTTTTTACAGAATTATTCGGGCAAAATTTTACAAATATTAAGGAATTTTTTGAAAATCTCGAAAAAAGGATCCCAATCCCATCAACAATCTATGCAATCTATGCCAATGTCGCAAACGATATTAATAGTGCATATAAAATCAAAGCTTATGCTAGAAACCATAAAATTCTCATATACGAGCTTATTTACAGAAATATTATGGTAATCGAATCAGATATGTCTGATGAGTTACAAGATGGTAACTCTACTGAAAAATTAGAACATTTGGAGCGTGATAGGCACTTGATACTAAGGAAATTGGAAGGAAAAGATAAAGTTCTAATTGATATACCATACTTCTTTATGTATCTTTATGCTGATGTCCTTGGAATTTTTACAGAAAATCTAAATAAAGCATTTTTACCTGATTCAGATTGGTCATGGAATAATTGGTAAATATTTATTGCTGATTTTATAGCATCACACATCACTATGATTGATGTGCTGAAAAAAGAAAAATTATTAAAACTTGGAGATTTCTTTCGTGGTGCACAGGGTAGCGATTTTACACTGGGCCTGTTGATCAATTTTGAACCTGTTGAAATCTATGAATTAAAACATCAATTTCCATGCCTGAACCTTTCTGCAAAAGCGGGAAAAACTGCTATGTTAAAGCCAGGTTACATTATGATCAATGGTTATTCGGCACCATTTGCAGATGTTTTCTTTTTAGTAGATAACCCTGAGCCCATTCTTATTGCTGTTCAATGCAGATGGAGAAAAGTATCTCTTGATTTGGAAACAATCAAAGATGAGCATAAGAAAAATGCAGGTGTTTCTAGTAAAATGAAAGAAAAAGCCAGAAAATTGAGGAACGATGCCAATACAGCGAGCAAAAAGAAGGGAGATGAGTTACGATATGAGGCAGAGCAATATACACAACTTGCTAATCTTTTGAGCAAATACCGTATCATTACAATTTTTATTACCACTCAGCGGTTTAGTGAGGAATTAGAATGCATCCCTGAGGATTGTATTCTGATTCATCAAGAAAATTTTGATACTTTCTTCGGACCTGTATTTTCTTCTCGTGCCAAGTTTGTAATGACTAGAGATTCAAATCCAAATATGAGTACTGCAAGTCAATTGGCATCAAGATACGAAGCAATTAGTGAAGATATGGGGGAGAGAATAGAAAAAACTAGAAAGAGAAGGACCTTTATGTCACATGAAGATTTCTGTAAAGAATTTCCGGAATTAGCTAGTGATGATGAGATCCGAAGTAATTTTGTTTACTACCCATACCGTCCACATATAGAATCCTTTGAACATCCAAACAAGAGAACACGTGTTTAAGATAAAACCTTTTTCGACTTTTTTTTCTACCGCGTTGGATTTCGTCATTGTTAATATTTTATGAATAATGTCATTCTTTATCACATTACACAATGCACATATATTCACATGTATACATAAAAAGTGACTTGTAGTTTTATTTTATTAATAAAGTATCATATGCATTATATAAAATTCAATACAGTATTACAGCGTAATCATGTAGCATTTCAAATAACTGATATAACAAGTTAAATGCATTTATTTATTTTTTTTGCACAATACACCGTAAAATTAAAAATAAAGCAACAATGGACGAAATCTTTATCAATAAAATAAGAGAAAAAAAAATTGGTGCTATAGAAGCGAAATGAAATAAACTTCTTCAGGAAAGGAACTATCCATTTCCTCAGCCACCAATGATTTCCTGCAACCAAAATGAAGTTAGATGAACTATTGTTAGGAGAATTAGTTAGTAACATTATCATTTCGTGACTACCCAAGAAATCCTGTCAGTACACAAATAAAAATCATGTGACAGCGTGAAAAAAATTCACGCACTTTTGCCAAGAAAAATTTTTTATTAATACATGCGAAAAATAAATACAAATGTTCGGGACTCTGCCCGTGATACATGACGTCTATGCTATGGCTAATCCTACAGTCTAACTAACCACCTGACATTTACGTGACTTGGAAATTCGCCCCTCCTTCTTTACGAAATGTCTGTAAAATACATGATTATTAATTATAAGAAATTAGCCGTTAGCCATTAAGGCGCTTCGCAGGTGCTTCGCAAGATTGCAAGAAATAGGAATTTGCGAAATAATAAATTCTTACGTATTATATCTATCTAGCAAGTTAGAGTATTTGAGCTGTTCCTCCTCGAAAAGCTTTCTCTTCTTTTTTGTGTCCTCCCGACTTGCCATACCGAAGTCAATCAGATAGACGTCACCGTCATCGTTAATTAAGATGTTTTCCTCCCGAATGTCATTGTGGAGGATGCCATACTTGTGGATCGCTTCTAATCCCTTAATAGCCCTTGTCTTCTGCTGTTTCTTTATTTTTTGGTCGCTCAACGAAGTGCCGACAATAGTCATGCCGATAACGAAGCTCATACCTCCTCCATAATATCCATAACAGACCAACTTGGGGATATACTTGCCTTGAATATCAGCTAGATCTTTGTACATCTCTACTTCTTTCTGCATTTCTTCCAGAACATACGATGGGGCCTTAGATAAGTCTGCACTCTTCAGAGCAATCATATCTCCACGAAATTCGCATAGGAGAGTCTTTCCACTTCGTCCTTCACCTAGTATGCTCTTAAACTTGAAGTCTGCGAAGCTAAACTTTTGCTGGTTTACTGGGACGTTAGAAGATGATTGTTGATTCGAAAAGGTGCTGGAAGCCTGATTAGTTAATGAAGAGCTGGATGATGATTTTGAGTTTGATCGAAGAGTACGTGAATTATTATCCCCTTGAGCCGGCACTAGTACTTGAGGTTTAGGAGAGTTGGGATTCTCTTTCGCCTGTCGAGTTAGATAAGCATATGCCTTGAGAACTGGTGGAGATTCTGATTGTAGTGGAAGGGTTTTTGAGATCCAGAGCTTCGTGTGTTCTCGGCATAGAAACCAGTGATTATCATAAGTGGTAAGAATACCGTTTCTAAGTTCGTTTCCTCCCATATAATTATAGATTTGTTGAATTACATCCTTGCCCTTACTCGTATTATAAAACTCGGGAAATGTCTGTTCACCCATGTCTTCTAAAACATGCTTTCTTTTTGCCTCAATCACCAAGATCAACGAACCCACGAGATGACAGGTGAAATCCGGTATGCCAGGAGAAGTAGGTGGACGTTTTGAAAAATTATAATCTGGTCCCATAAGCTTATTTAACATCAAACAAATGTTGATAGATATAGCAACGCGAACATCCTCTTCATTGACTATCTCTATATCTTGGTTAAATTGTGGCCTCTCGAATATCGGTTGTTGGTCGAAGCGGAATTGATTTACTAGCTCAAAAAAGTCTCCCCATAGTTGTACACTTGTCGGTGGGTCACCATTAACCTTTGTAGTGGTCTTCGATTTAGTACAGTCCGGAGAATATGTTATGGGTGGTGGAATACACGACAAAGCCTCTTCTAAGCTGAGAACTGGAAACGAATGCGTGTTAATATTACAAGGGCAAATGACGAAAAATTAGCCGTTAAGGCACTTTGTACAGACTGTACCAGACACTTACGTGGCAACTTTACGATGACATGGATATGTTCTTCGGGAGGTGAGTCTGGAAAATATTTCGAAATCTTTCTTATTGCCAACAGCTCGTCACTGTCCTGGAAAATTAGATTTCTTAATTGATCGTCCTGATCGCCAGGGATTGTCACCTTCCATAGTTTCAAGTCTTTCGCCTTGAAATTAGCTGGAACATCTATTTTTTCTTTTATAGCCTCCTTGAGGTGGCCAACAAGCCGGTCCTTATCTATATCGACAGGAAAAGCGTTCGCGAGTGTATTTCCTTTGACGAGACATAGTAAAGTGATAGACATGTTTTCGGCTTATATAGTATTTTTTGTGAAATATTATTGGTGGAAACTGGCGGACAAGAATAAAAAAGATTTTATTTGCGAAAAAAATACTGAGGCAGACTATATGTGAGAAATTATTCTGTTTCACAAGCCTGCCGTATGGTCGGTCACATTGCATCATAGGTGCAACAATCGCCTATTCACTGCGCCTCCCTAACTGTGAAGTTTTTTATATAGACTGGTTCGGATAAAAATGTTAGATTTATAGTCCTGCATCATTACACGTGACCCGTTTCTCATATACGTTCGATAAAATAATACTTTATTTATGAAATAAAAAACGTTGCCAGTAGTTGGCCTAAAATACATAAAATTTGTGACTATATCGCTATTACATGATGTGAATAAAAAAATCTAATTATCTTTGCTTAGTACTTTTGGCACCCTTTCAGTGGAAGGATACATGATAACATTGATTCCCTTTTCACCACCATAGATTTGTTGAGGTTGCATGAAGAAGTGAGTAAAAATTCTGTCTTGCGGTTCCATTCTTTCAGCACCCTCTACTTTGAAGTATTCGTTGTTACTCAAGTTGTGGATTACTACGCTATCAGATATGAAGGCGACCTTATATAAAGCCAAGCTGGTCGAATCTATATCTTGAAATCGATCTAGATGACAGATTCTGATTGCCTCCGCAAGAGAAGAGACTCTATTATTGTTAGCATTAGATATCGTTACATTGAAAATATTTCTCCCCTCTCTGGGAATGAGACAGTTGAGAATAATATCTCCACCAGCGAGAAACTTGTCAAGCTTGTCAGGCTTATCGGGAACCTCGGACTTATCAGACATCTTGCTTTCCTAAATACAAGGCCCTTTGTGAGAAATTTTCACTTGTATATATACAAAACTTCTGGCATATACATATTTCAATTATTTTTTGGGAAAGTTGGCTGAACTTCCATATACTCCTATATGCTTTATATCTTGCTGGGAAAAAGTTAAGGAGATATGAGGCATAATTAGTATTGTCGTCTGACACCAAGAGTTCTATAAAAGCGCATGCAAACGGAATTTCCATACTTTTTCACATGTAGATCTACCTTGCAAGACATATAGTTGGTTTTACACCCAGCGATCTCAAAATTCCAAAGTCCTCAGCCTTTTATAACATATGCTTTTGTCAGCACTATTTACTTTTAGAGCTGGTTCTGTGCTCCAACTAGACCTCCTTTCACATTTGTCTCATGTTTATTCGGGAAAAAAATAAAGAATAAAGGTTAATATGTTTTTTCGAATATATATGTGAAAATTAATATATCTCACAAACCCTGCCTGGTGATCGGCCTATTTTCTGTCATTCAATCTGTAGTTTAGCAAATTCTTCCGAGCTGATGATCACTATCCCGGGTTGATGATCAGTATTCCGGACTCAGCCATAGGCACCTCGGTAAAATTTTCCACATTAAATATATTACTTTACTATTAGCAATCATGATAAATAACAATACTAATAAATCTCCTATGAAAAAAATCTCTTGATCAATTATATAAAGTATTTTTATATAAGAAGAAGAATATAATAGCTATTCAGAAAAAGCTTGGTATTAATATCAATGCAAATCAAAAGGCAGTGCGTCAAAGCAAGGAAGAGATAACACTTGCCAATTCATATGAGTTGTTATTAAACTTGGTGGGAGATATGTTACCAATACAGGAGGAACTCAATATCGAAGGCAATCCCATTCTAGAGGTGGAACTTAGGAGTTATAAAGCTTCTATGGATATCATATAAGCAAATATATAATCTGCTTTTATATTTAAAAGAGGATATAATAGCAATTCAGGAAGAACTCAATATTGTTGGCTACACTAATCAAGAAATGGCGGAAGAGGCTGATAAAACCACAAGAGAATATCTTCGAAAGTTTGAGAATTTCCATAGTCCCTTAAAAGATATTCCAAATATATTAATACAGAGATTCATCAATAAGGGGGTAAAAATGTTTTATTTTACCAGAGAAGAACTACCGTTATTTCCAAAGGTCTCTCCTCAACAATTGCACTAAATATTCATCAAAAATCCATCTAGTGCTAGTTAATGCCCATGTTTAGAACAGGTTAGCTAATCTATATTTTTTGTCACATGCATGTGGCCCAGCAAAAACTAATTAATGATCATCACTTTGGACTATTATTGATCTAGCCATACCATGGATCAGAATACCACTGCAAATTATCTCGCATACTTAAATCTAAGAGGTTCTGAAGGCCCTGAGCTAAAATCTATCTACTAGAAATGTTGTTCTGTATAAGATGATTTCTAACAGGATCCTGAACAATATATATATAGGTCAGATAAAAAATTCAAAATTTACTAAGGTCAATAAGCAAATATTTTTCATGTCTGCTAAGCAAACTTTTATCTAACCCATAAATTTTTTACACTGCTAAGCAACTTATTTTATGACATATATATATTTATATATAATTTTTTTTTATAAAATATGTATATAAAAAAAACTAAAAAAACAAAAATTTTTGAAATAATGTATGGATAAAGCTATTATTATTTTTTTGTAATATTACAACTTATAAATGTTTCTTATTAATATTTCGTATATCTGTTCTGTGACTTCAGAGCGTAATTTAGGTACTTTAGTCAAAGGAAACATCCAAAACCTTCTTAAGTAAAGTTGTTTAGCAGGTTCGAATCTACTTACATATAATTTTTTATCATGATTGAATAGATATTTATGGATTTATTCATGTTTTTTGTAACGCTACCAATACGCGGAATTTTTATTTTTAAAATTTACTGTAAAATTTGTCAAAAAAAATATTTTTAAAAAATTTTCTAAGTAAAAATGAAATAACTTTTACAAAAATTATAGTGTAAAATTATAAAAAAACAGAAAAACACTTATTTTTCCCTTCCCACCCATCCGTTGCTCTCATTTTAAATATATATTTTTTAAATGTTACACGGACGCATATATGATTTATGATTTTAATGTTATGCGGACGCATATTTGTTTTATCAAAAACACGTTACACTATCACGTCTAAAAATGTTTCCTGTATTACGTATACAATTAACTTATTCTTTGTATTAAAAATAGTAAATTTTTTTTATACAAACATGTTTATAACTTTGTTTACATATTTTATTAGATTTTTTTAATGTGAAAATGTAAATATATATTATATTATATATATATATTAAAAAATTCTATCCTGCTACGCAAATATATATCTAACTATTGATAATTTAATACTCTGCTACACATAATTATATCTGACTATTTAAAAATTATGTTATCAAATAAGCAATAATAAATCTCACATAGAAAAAATTTTTATATATTGGTTAAGCAAACTCAAAACCTACCTTTATATATATTGTTTGGGGTCCTTTTCTAACTACTCCAATGAAATCAGAAGGTGTTAAAGTTTCCTTGAAATTCTCTATGTGAGTATTTGGATTTAGCTTATTTAACGCTCCTTTGCTAATTTTATAACACCCTTCTAAATTAAGATATTTTAAATTAAGACATGATCTAGCAATTTCTTTGATAGTTATATCAGTAATTTTACAATAGATAAGATCAAGTTGTTGGAGCCTTGGGCAAAAGCGAACAATATTACAAATTGATATTTCAGAAAATTCTGTATGGTTAGAAATATTTAGATATTCTAGTTTCTGGCATGATTCTGCGATTGCAGTTAGACCTATATCATTTTTTGACTGAAGTTGCCGTAAAGTGGATATATTGAGATACTTCAAATTTGTGTATGATTTCACTATTAGCTTTAGAGTTTTACCAATACGGTCCGTATTTCCTCTAAAATCTAAATAAACTATATTTTGAAAAGTATGGACAATGCCTTTAATTTTTCTATTAGAAAGTGAGTAGTGCAATATTTTAAGATGAGTTAATTTTGAGCTATAGACTGGTTTTCTTCCTCCTCCAGGTACTATTTTAAAAAATCTTTCTAATCGAGTTCGATCCTCTGCTTTCCTTCACTTTAGCTCAATGCGTCTCCATAAAATAGGAGCACCGCATCTGTACCACAATCGGGAAATATATAGAGCGAGATAGAGAGATTTATCTATCGCTAAGAAATGTAAAATCTGTTCTAATAGTTCTAGTAAATAAAAAATGCTTGATTGCGCTATACATAGTGCATATTATATATTATATCTTTAATCGAAAAAATAGCAAAGCACTTTCGGTAAAATTATGCGATTACTGCTTCAAATTGGCATTTATTTCCAAATTTCAGCTAGCATTGCATCAATTTCAGCTAACATTGAATCAATATCCATAGTCTGCTGAGACTTTCTTTTGGCTTGGCATTGAGGATTGGGCTGGGATGCAGGTGAAGAAGCCTGTATTTGTGGTTTTGGACTATCACTTGCCTTAGATACAAATTCATGGTCAGATTCGGGACCAGAGTCTTTTGATTCTGTATCGCCTATAGCATAATTATCGCCTGCATCAAGATAGTCTGATTCTTGCCTTAATGCGATTCTCAAAAGCAGTTTAAGATGCTGGGGAGTTGGGTTCTTACCACCATGAATTCTGAAAGCATGTTTACTTCCATAATCTCTTAATTTTTTAGGTATAGTTTTATAAAGTTCTTGCTTTAAAAATTCATTAAATGGCCAAGTATTACGTATTTCACATTCAGTAAAGATAGAGTCAAATAACTTTTTAGCCTTAATTACATCTCGGATCTAGGTGAGTAATTTTCTAGCACGTTCTGGATTCTCCATAGAAAGAAAAGGTTAGGACTTAGGATTTTCCTTTTTTTCTCCTTTATTCTTTAAATAGCCTGTGCAGTACCAAGAATAGCCTTCTTTATACCACGCTGGAATGTTCGAAGGGTCCGGTTCATAATAATTAATCTGAAGAGATCTTATTTCCACAGGTCTCATACTCAACATCACAATCACATTCGTGAGATTCTTCCTAGTAAAAGTTTTAGAAACATTTAAATTCTAGATTCTCTTTTGCACATTTGCTAAATAGAAGTGTTTGGAAATTCTGTCCAGATTAGCCATTCGTTTCTTAGTTCGTTTCTTCTGAATTTTATTAGAATCTTGAATAAGTTACTTATCTTTAGCAAAAGTATCAATAATTGCAGTTTCTATACCACCTTATGCTAACTTTGCATAGAATGTTGACTGACGTAAAGCACTGGCAATGATTTCATTTTCATCTTTATTTTTTGGACCCAATACCCAATGATTAGCGATAATGTCTACAAAATCACCATTCTTAGCGCAGTATTTTGCCCTTTCCTCTATGGTAAGCTTTCCCTTTCTTTTATCTAGCAGAAGAGCCACTATTTTCTCTTTACTAAATGAGCGTCTGTTATCAGTGATTCTGATAAGCACAGGTAAAACGCTGATCAATCAGGTACCTACCCAATTGGTAACTTTTTTTTGATCGGTCACCTGATTTATTCAATAGTTAGAAATTGGTATACACTTCAATCGGGTATCAATCAGATTAATACCTAATTGATAACTATCTTTTAGTTTAAATTTACCGATTGATAACTATCGTTTAGTTTAATTTACCAATTGCTCTCTTTAAAACAAATAGTGACCGATTGTTAGTAATTTATAAATTTAAAACAAATTGTAATCCAATTGTTAGTAAATTATAAATTTATTTATCAGATAACTTATTTTAAACGTAAATGAACTCTGTTTTATTACAAATGAAATTGTCTATTAATTGGTATAACTGCCATATAAGTAGTTGGATTTCGTGTGCTAACTGTAAATTTGCTAAGTAAGAATCAACTGTATATGTTATGAATCGGCATGATGGCATCTCTAGATAATTTGTGGAAATCATATTTCCACAATTCAACATTGCAACTTTTATCATCCCAATTGCCGATTCTGCAATGAAACCTTGTTTTCTCATTTGGTGCCCATAAATACCAGTTGACAAAAGCGAGCCGATGTGTCTTAGGACTGATTGGCAGCTGAACTGTATGCTCGAAATAATACTGAACATGACCAGGGTAAATGTCTATGGACTTATCGTCCTGTATAAATTTGGCCAAAATATATGAACTTCTTTGATATCGGGATGCACTTTTTGACCCAAAAATTTCGGCAGCAATCCAAATACGACCAAACTGGGTTATGATTGGCAATACAATGATTGATTGATTGGAATCTCCTGACAATAAATCACTCGAAGCTAAATCAGCAATTGATGTAAAATTCCAATCGTATATATCATTATAATATTTCACCAATAGTTTATATGTGGCATTTGGTAACGATACTTGATTTCTTGGAGTAAGCATCTCTCCCAGAAATTCTTCGCTACCAGTAGTAATCGTGTTATCGATATTTTGATGAAAATTTTGCATAAAATGGTAAAGTTCATTAAAATCAAACCCATCATAAGCTGCCAAACTTCCAGTTGTTAATCGAGTTTGAACCAAAGGTAATGCATTCATCAATTTTGCATTATCCGATTGGGCAGATATTAAGCTGTCTAACCGCGAATTTTGCACGATGATTCACAACAATTCTAATTCAATAGTACGTTTACTATAAGGAAGGGAACCTATTTAAACAATAAGTTTATCTGTTACCAATTTGCCAATTAGAAATTTTGATTTTCAACAATCAACGTGTTTTACCTAATACGCCATTCATTTGTTCAAATGAATAACACCAGAACGAATAAAGTGGTCCATAATCTTGGCAACATTCAATGATGTGGAGAGATAAATGGATATTTGGAGTTATTTTCTCCTGTCCGTAATTTTCCTCAATTAAATGAGCTACTTGGTGCAGTCGGTAATAAGCTTTGAGCAGTGCGCTTTTGTTAACAATTCGACAAACAAGCAAAGTACAGGCTCTTACAAAATTTGCTAAAATTTTCTGATCAGCCTCGTCCAAAAGATCCCATATAATCAGTATTGCATAAATCATAATAAACGACCTCCATTGATCAGCTGTATATCCAGAAAATTCTTCTCCGGTTGCTATTTTAGAAGGTATCCTTCTTAAATCAACCGGAACTTGGATCTTTTTTGCTCTTATTTCCATCAATTTAAGATGGGTTTTTGTTATTTTCCCGCCATCTATCCACAACCTTTTCACGATCCAATGTGCGATTCCCAAAAATAAATTATGCATTGAATCAACCACAAGAAATCTGATCAAGTTGAAATACGGCAATCTTAACAACTCTGACCAATGTACGTACGTGAGTTTCGGAAATATATTTTTTTTTTTTGTACTTAGATTTATACAACCGCCAACGTTCAGCATTACATCAATGTTCATTTAGATCTTTTTGCATGAACCACTCGGTAAGGATGGTACCGCAAATATGTAATTGCGGAATAATTGCAATTTACGGTATTGCAGAACATTGCGGATTTTTAAATCTAAAAATCCGCAAATCCACAAATCTGCAATTATCTGCAATCCCGCAAATATTCTGCAAATCTGCAAATATCGCAAAGTACTGCAAATATTCCGCAATTGAATTGTGGTACCAAGGGGTGAGGGGGAATCCAACTGAATATTACACAATATGATTTTAGGTTAACGAAACTGTCTTATATATTAAATTAATATAATTTACTAATAAATGTCAAAAATTTGAAAGATAAATCATTTCTGATAAAAATATTTGATATACAATATTGTTACACCATTAAAGTATGACAAATATGAGATCTTTTTTTTCATTTTTTGGTTCTTCAAAACGCGATTAAATATTTCTATGAAGAGAAATTTTTAATCAGCTATATATATACATATATACATATATATATATACTTAAATTTAATAAATATGGTCAGAAAAGTAGACTTAAATATTTTTATTTAATAAAATATTTTATTAATTAAAGTTTTTTTCACTTTAGAAACGTGTTTTAAGTGACCAAACCAACTTACAGGAATCAAAAAAAATTAAGCATCCTGAGGCCCTTCAAGAATTATACAGACTTCAACCTAGTTTTAATGGAAAACAGGTTTATTTTTTTATAAAAAAGCAAAATATAGAGAGGGAACTTTAATTTACGATAAAAAAGACAAAACTTTCTATGTATTTGACAAAAAAAGTGGTGAAAAATTTGACACTTTTTCCTCCTGAATTAGTTTTCTTAAAACTAAAAAAGTATTCAAAGGTGCACGATCAGCAATTGCTACAGTCTTTTTTGAGCCAAATTCCTCTGGTTCTAGCTTAGCTTCAATATTGAGAACAACAGAACAAATCCCGTATTGGAAAGTAAACAATTCAGCAAGTATAGTAGAGGTTACATCATTAGTTAAGACAAATATTACGTCTAAGAAAGAATTTTTTGGTGTAGGGATAAGAGAAATTGTTAATGGAATAGGAATAACATTTTTTGGAAAAGAATGTAAAGTAGAAAAGAATTTAACTATAAGATGGCATGATAATTTAATTTCTTATGATATGAATGTTTTTGAAAAGAGCGTTAAAAAAATAGATGGAATTGAAACAGGAATTGCAATTGAAAGAAATCTTTTTGAAATAAATAAAACGGTTGAATTTGTATCTAAAGCAAAATTATGTCCTGGACAAATAACTAAAGGTAGGTTTAATAATTATATACTTTTCTAATTTACAAAATATGAATTAACCACTTACTTTATTTAGATTTTGAACAAGTGGTTAAACTTCGGGGCATTAATCTTGTAAATAATCAAAAAAATTCCAATAATATTCATGAAGTTTTCGCAACTTTGGAAAATCAAGGTCAATCTAACGAAGCTTACAGAAGGATAGACTGTGATTTATTAATAAATAAAATAAATATTTGCCAAAATTGTCAGAAATTAAAGGATACATTGACAAAAATAAGAAATCGAAATCTTACTGGTACCTTATCTACAACCCTATAAAAAATATGTATACGGTTTTTATACTGTATATACGTATTTTTGATACAGTGTGCATTTTTACATACGGCATATCAGTATAATGTATACTGTTCGCAAAATGTG